TCTACACACACACAGAGACACGCACACATCCCCTTGTTAAGTTGCTGGATTCCAATGCTTCATAATTATTTAAAGAACCCATTGTAATTTGGGAAATTTTAATATTGGTCAATATACCAGATTTTGTAGTGTCTGAACTCTGTTAGCATTTATCAAAAGTTTATGCTATAAAAATTGTAAGATTAGAAAAAAGTTTATAAAGTTGCTCGAAGGTAGTCTAGGGAACATATTTAGACTGAGAAAACTAGATATTTAATAAGGTATAAAAGTAATACTCTCCAATTCATTGGCCAGACAGCTGTCCTCCAAATTTCCTGGCATAGACTAATAAGCATATCCAAGGGTGTACCTGTTACTCAAAACAAGTCAATTAGTGCCCCATGGACTCTTGGGGCCTTATTTTTTGCCAATGGTTTCAATGCAGCTTTCACCATTGGCTCCTGTTCATATACTTCCTGAAATTTTTCAGTGTCAATCAGTTCTTTCTGGTACAGTGATTCTATGTATTCTCTCCATCTTCTTTTGATTCTTTCTAGGTCATTCAATATATTGCCTATAGCATCTTTCAATATTGCAACATGAAGCTTGCATTTGTTTTTCAATTCTCTCAGCTTGAGAAATGAAGAGTGAGTTCCAACTGTCTGGACATTCCATTATAATACCTTGCATATTTGTTCCCATTTCCAAGAAAGGTGACCCAACTGAATATGGAAACTATCAAACAGTATCATTAATATGATTTGCAAGCAAAATACTGCTGAAGGTCATTTAAGAATGCTAGAACAGTATATAGGTGGGTAACTGCCAGAAGTTGGAGCAGGATTTAGTAGAGGCCGTGGCACCAGAGATATTGCTAATCTCAGATGGACCCTTCCTGAAGGTAAGAAATACCAGAAGAATGTCTATTTGTGCTTTATTGACTATGCAAAGGCATTTGCCTCTGTGGATCATAACAAATTGTGGCTAACTTTGAGAATACTGGGAGTCCCAAAGCACTTGATTGTGCTCCTGTGGAATCTATACCTGGATCCGGAAGCTGTTGTACAAACAGAAC